GTTCTTCTATTCTAAGTAAGTCCTTATTATTCCTATTAACTCTATAGTATAAATATCTTATCCTAGCTGCCTAACGCCTAAGTAGGTCGGTTAACTGTTATTTATGCATAATAGGTCGTAATATTATAGTAATATCTCTACTTATAGTAGGATTATTACTATAAGAGATAGATTAATTAGAAATATCTCTTAGTGGACTATTATAGGTAGTATTATGTCTATTATTGTTAGGCATAATACTACTATTTATATCCTTAAAGCGGGTATTTATACTTATAGGAAGCTCTTTATGATGAGAAATAAAGGTATTTTCTAAGATTTTAATGTCTTAAGACTATAAGGCTCTTCTTAGTTATATATCTTAGATCTTATACCTATTAGATCTATAATTAATTATATAACCTTAACGTGCTCATACGTCTAGTTTTTTAATAAGTGGATCTTTATTCTTATAGTAGCATATACTACCCTATACCTTTATATTATTAATATTAGGTTTTATATTATTCTTTATTTCATAAGGCGTTTTATACTTAATAGAGCTATAAGGAGTCCTATTATATATATATAAAGAGTAGTATAGAAGGCTTCACCCTATAAGTAGTGTGGTAAACCTAAATTATATAGTAAGGTTTTTATTTTATTAACTATAGTATATATAGTACGCTCTATAAGTTTATTAGGTTTATAAGTATAAAGAGGTCTTTTATTATATATTATACTGCTTTTAGTATATATAGCTTTAAAGTGTTTATTATTAAAATCTCTACCTCTATTAGTAGATATTTCTTTTATTCTTTTATTATTATTATTATTATTAACTTTAGCTTAAAATTTAAGAANAAAGCTTTACTAATAGTATACTTCTCTTTATTTTTAAGTAATTTTCCCTATATAAAATAGATATATTTATCTATAAAGATAATAAAAAGGTTATATTTATTATAAGTAGTAAGTGTTATAAGCCTATATAANATCTGAAGCTATATAATCTAAGTAATCTAGATTTTTATTATGAACCTGTTTTTTACTAGCTTTAGTTACAAATTTACCTTAATAATAGGCTTTGCAGGGCTATAATTTATTATTATTTATATTGTTATTTATATCTATATTCATAGTTATATTATCTTTTATTTTTAAAAGAGTCTGTAAATATATATGTCCTAGACGTTTATGCTATAGTTAGAGGCTATTATTATTATTATTATTTATATTATTATTATTTATAGTATTATATATATAGTTATTATTATTATTAATAGAAAATTAGAAGAAATATAAGTTAATTCGTTTTGCCCCTATAGCAATAATATAATCTTTATTAATATTATATAAAATAGGTTGTTTCTATATAATAGAAGTAATACCTAAAGAATCTAACTTAGATTAACTAAGCAGATTAATACCTAGTTTAGGTATATAATAAACGTCTTTTAATATTATATTATTATTATTAGGATATATTATTAAATCACCCTTTATAGTAGAAGTAAGAGTCTTTGCTTCTCCCTATATTATTATTTTATTTATTTATATAGGATTTTTTATAAGGTTATAGTTATTAACTATATAAATAGTAGCTGTAGTATCAATATAAAAATTAACCGTTTTTTTATTCTTATTAGTATAACTCCTTGCTTTTGCTTTTTCCTTAATAAAAGATTAGTTAATTAAATAACCTAAGGGAGGATTATTAGTATTATTATTTATATTATTAGTAGAAGTAGTATAGTTTACATTCTCAAAGAGAATATCTTCTTCTTCTTTATTAGAAGATAAATCTATTAAATCTATNGCTTATATTCTCAAAGAGAATATCTTCTTCTTCTTTATTAGAAGATAAATCTATTAAATCCATAGGATTTTTAGGATTATTAATAGATATATAGGGGGTAATATTATCTATAGTAGTTATATTAACTACTTCTTTTTCTTTATCCTTAGTACTAGTAGTACTAATAGAGGGCTTTTTCTACTAGCTAGGTACTTTTTTAGGATATAGAAAAGCGTAGTTTTCTTTAGTATAGTTTATTTTCTTATAATTTTTATAGTATAAACCTTTCTATTTTTTCTAGGGTTTTTTACTTATTTTATTTTTATCTTTCTTTTTATTATTTTCCTAGTTTTTATGTTGTTTTTTATTTTTATTACTATTAGTAGTAGTATTATTAACTACTTCTTTACCTCCTTTTCTCTTATACTTATCTATAAGATTAGTATATAAAGAGTTTAGGTTATAGGTAGAAGGGTTAGTTCTAAGAGACTAAGTTATAGAGGTTATAAAAGCCTTATAAGTCTCATTTAGACTATTAAGTATATAAGCTATAACTACTTAATCTAGTAATTTAAGCTTATTATAAAATAAGTTATCTATAAGTTCTTTAATCTTATTTATATAATCTTCTATAGATTTAAAGTTATCTAAGGAGGTATTAAAGAACTCTTTATAGGTTAAAAACTTATTTATAAAACCTATAGGCTTATATAGAGATTTTAGATAATTCTAAGCTATATAAGCGTCTTTATTATCTTTTATAACCTTAAGTAGACTATTATTATAGAATAACTATATATAACTTAAAGCTTTATAGTTTTTATCTAAATTATCTTTAGATATAGGCTTAGTAAGGTTTATAGTAATATCTTTACTATATAGTAGGGCTTTTATACGTATAGCTTATACCTTATAGTTCTTAAAGCCTATAAGTTTAGGGAATTAAACCTTAAGATTAGTTATTATTACTTTATTACTATGCGATATATAGTTATAAGCTTTATAAAGGTTAAATGATAGTGAGGTTATATAACTAAAGAGCTATTATATATATAGTATAGTAGACCTGTATGGCGCAGTGGTGTGCGCCTGGCAGGCCTGTGCGTTACCTAAACGCATAGGCGTTGGTTCGATCCTGGCTACAGGAACCCCTTTTCCTCTCTTCTGATTGGTTAAGGACCCACATGCATAGTGGGGCACCATCGGCCTCTGGCTAATCATTATATAGTATTGTGTACGTATCGTCTGCCCAATCGTGTACTGCAACGCGGCCTGAGTTTTCTTCCCATAAAGGGTTTCTCAGCAGCGCTTTGCTTAGTATTGAGTATTAGTATAGAGTATTAGGGCCTTAAGCCCTCTAGTATAGAGTGAACAGAGGGGGAAGTACCCTCATACCTTCTAATATATAGTATAGTAGTTCTTATAGTAAAGTTATAATAGTTATAAACTTAAAGGGTTAGGGTTTAACTGATAAAAAGAGTGGTTTTTATTCCTTCTCTTTAATTAATATCTTCTTTAGCTAGACTTCTATTTAACTGAGGAGATATATATCCTATATAGTAGATTAGTTAAGAAGAAGTCTATTGTACTATAAGTATAGGTTTAAACTAGATTAGGAGTAGACTAGAGGATAGTTTAAAGAGATAATCTAAGGGATATAGATTAAATAAAGTAGTAGTAAGGGACTATCTACTTAAAGAAGGATTAATAGAGGTATAGTTGATTTATATAGGATTAGTTATATAGATTTATAAGAGGTATATCTTATAGAACTAAACTACTAGTCCAGCTAGTATATTAGCTTCTATATAGGTAGTATAGATAGAAAAGCGTTTAAAAGATTGATTTTCAGTATATATAACCCTTAAGTAGAGGTAAAGCTTTATAGGTAGGTAGGGGAGAGGTAAAGAGGTAGAAGGAATAGAGGTTATTTCTAAGCTAGGCTTATAACCTATTAGTATAAGTATAAGTATATTTAGGGGCGTAGTATATACGCCTATATAGTATAGGGTTATAGATAAGCTTATGTTATAATAAAAGGTAATAATCTTAAGTATTTATAGGTATTTAATCGTATAGATAATAATAAGGGAGTTAATATATTCTGATAACTCTAGTTATTATTCTTCTTAGGTTTCCTCCTCTAGTAGGGAAAAGTAAGGGGAAAGATAACCTAAAATATAACCTACTAAACTGCTAATTACATAAGGTGCTTATATAACTATACGTATTATATAATCAATATTATAGTTATAGGTTATAATAAATAGAGTATTTTTATATAAGGTTTAATACCTTAAACTTTATTAGTTTATTTTATATAGAATATTAAAGTAAGTTAAGCGTTATTATTATTCTTATATTATTATTACTATTATAAAAGAATGTTATATGTTAATAGGTATTATAGTAACTAATAAGAAGTTAAAAAAGATATTAAGAAGTATATATAATCAGGTCTTTAAAGTATAAAAGTATAATAGTAATAATAATAATAGTAGTAGTAATATAAGTAGTAATATTAAAAAAGGGTTATTTTTAAAAGCTAATATAGGGGTTAAAAATAAGCTTTTTTAAGCTTTAATAAGAGAGCTAAAAATATATTAATCTAATAATATAGTAAAAAATATATTTTTAGTACTTCTAGTAGTTATTAATAATATTAACCTTACTATTAAGAAGTATTTAGCTCTATTTTACTACCTATTAACTTAAAAGTATTACTAAACTAATATTAATAACTACTTACCCTTTTTTCTTTTTTTAGAGATATATTATAATAAAACCTAATAGGCTAGTAATAAGTCTATTATATAAGTAATTATAGAGATATTAATTTAAAACTAACTTAGGTTATCTACTTTAAGTATAAAAGTTATAAAGGTTATAACTTTAAGTAATTAGAATAAAGTTAGGTACTAAAATATCTAAGTAAGTTTTTTTTATTTTTTAAAAAATATTTTAAAAATTCTAATTAGTTTAGAAACTAGATTTTCTTTTTTCTAAGTAATATTAGCTTATTTAAGCTAACTAAGCTTTTAGTATCTTAGGCTTAATTAATTAACTGCCTGGATAGCCTCAATTTGATTAGTTAATTAATTGATTGATTGATTCAGCTTGGACGGGATGCTGCGCTGGTATCCGCCCGCACAGCATGACTCTCTATTATCGATGAATGGTCAGTAAATGACACTTGACGGATATGATATTCATTTTGCTCATCTCAAAGCTCCTCTCTTGTCTCATCCAGCTTCTCACCGGGCAAAAGACACCGCCACTCACTCCCATCCCACACGCCCTCCTTCGGAAACATACAAACTCTCCTAGCCTCTTTCCCAAACACTTTCCTCCCGTCCTTCTCCCCGACCGTCCTCGCCTCGAGGTCTTGCGGCGGGACCCCCTCCTCCACCCACTTCTGCAACCTCTCCATCGCATCCCACGGATACGGCCCGCCGTAGATCGGACTACAATGATTCATCCCCGGGACCTCGAAATACCTCCAGTAATCCTCAACCTCAACCCCGCGGCTCTCCTCAAGCTTCTTCGCCCGTTCGTAAAACGCCCTCGCCGCCAGCACCATCACCGTCTGGTCGGCCATCCCATGCCACATCAACATCTTGCCCCCGCGCTCCCTGAACCTCCTCAAGTCGTGCGACGTCCCAATCGCGGACGTGAACTCCTCCACGCCCTGCCTGAACACATCTCTAAACTCTTCCATCGTCATGTTCCCCACGTCAAACTCGGGATCTTTCTTGACGAAGTACTTTATCCAGTCTTCAGCAACCTCGAATGGTTCCCCTTCACACCCCCCGTCGTCATCACACCTCACATTCATCAACCCAAGCAATCCCACCAGCGGCGCCCCAGGAATATACCCATAACCGCCCTGCACCACCCTCCCCTCCTCATCACTACACTCAATCCCGCGTCCCTCCAACGCCTCAAAATCAACCTCGCACTCCCCCAATCTCCCAATGATCCCATCCACAACCCCATCCGCGGCATCACACCCCTCCACTACCCCCCTCACAACCTCCCTCACCTCGCACTCCCCAGGCCACCACCCCATCCCCGCCATCACAACCTGCGGCCCCATCATCCCACTCACAACGCCAGGAAAATCCACCGCAGGACACATACTCAACACCCCATCCCACCCCCCCTCATCCCTCGCCGCCAGCACCAAGCCTTGCCGTCCCCCCGTCGAACACCCAGCAAAATACCTCCTCTCCTCTCTCTGCCCATAAAACTCCCTCACAACCGCGCCCCCAACGTCCCCCATCTCGCCCACCCCCCGAAACGCAAACTCCACAAACCGCTCCCAGTCCAAATTTCCCTTACTTTTTACTGCCCATTCTTTGACCGGTGCCCCCTTCCAATGCCCCCCATCCGTCGCCGCAACAGCATACCCCCCCATCACCCCAGCAGCCATGAAATCCCCATCAACATCCCCGGCCACAAACCCCCCACCCCCCACGCCCAAGAACCGGCCGTTCCACGCCTGCCGTTCCAGCGGGAGCCAGACGTGCACACTCACCACAAAGTCGTAGCCCGGGTGGGTGTAAGATGTTGTGACATTGCAGAACGGCGCCACGCCCGACGGGGGGACGGACACGGCGGCGTCGGGCATCCAGCCCGCGTGCCCGGTATAGTTCCGCACGACGGCGGCGGTGGTGCGGATGTGAGCTGCACCGGGGAGAAGGGGGAATGTGAATTTGGAGGGGTGGCATTGTGAGATGCCAGCATCGGCTGCGGTCGTGGTGAGGAGAGATAGGAGAAGGGCGGGGAGTTTTAGTGATATCTCCATTGTTGCGGAAACATTAAACAGCAAGTGTATAAGTCAGCTACAGAGAAGAATATATTCGATAAAGCATTCAGATATGTTGACCTAACTCCCGCCCTTCCGAAGTATCCCCCATATGCACAACCCTCACCGCCTTCCACCCCGCGACATCTCACATCAGCGACACACTCCTCACCAACCCGCATATCCCATCACCTCTGTATCACCCCAGCACCACAAGCGCTTCCTGAAACACAGCGCTTACATTACACCCTCCAAAGTCCCCCCTCCGTCCCGACTGCCGCCTTACCCCCACTCTCGGCCCAACCCCGAAAGGCCCCACAAACGGCGCGGCGGGCGGCGATGGACCACCGATCGGCGTTCCCAGCAGGCCGGATAACACCCCTCATCCGCCACCAGTTGCAGCCGGGGCGTCAGCTAATCTAGCGCGCTAACCCCGCGACAATCTCAAGGATCGCCGGGCTAGACCTTACCTGATTGGTTCCAGAACAAACCATTACCGCCGATGCCAACATCATGATGCATAAAGACTGACAGACCTCTGGCCATCTTCTTCAAGCCTAGCAGAAACCCTTGGATCACGAGCAAATAAATGTTCCGATAAGCACTATGACGGCAAGCAGTGATCATCAGTCACGGAAGCATGTGGTGGTCAATTTTCAAAGCATATGAGTCGTTATTCCTGCCAATTGTACGCCCTACAGACAGATGTATGTCGCCCTCATGCGATGGCCTCGGAACCATCCATCAACCACCAAAGAAAAAAAGTCTTGAGCATCATCCTGGTCTCGCAAACTAGAGGAAAACCAAGCTCGGGTATCTAGCCCACCTGTCCATCCTTCCAGTTCCCAGCCCAGCCAGGCTCGCAGGCGGACATGAGATGCCCGACCCCAACCGCCAGAAGAGCGACATATTACTATCCACCACCTCAGCATCCCATAATGAGTGGGTATCTCATTGATCGTGAGCAAGCGTTACGGGGAATCAAGAAAAGGCCAAACAGATAGCTCTAGATGAAACTGTAAAACTGAGAAATATTCGCAACCGGCCCTGAAACAAGATAGAAAGCGGACAAAGGTCCAGATATCAAGATCGATCATACCAGAAATAAGCGACAGATACGGGGTGAGCTGAGAGATGTGGGCGGCGACGCCCCAACGAAAACATACCAAAGCAACGCTATGTAACAACGCCAACGACAAAAACATGCAATTGCCCACCAACCGGTAAAACGGGATATCATGAGTGAAAAGCGACCGTATATCGTGCAGGGTGTTCGATGCTCCTTGCCGACATGTGGATATGAAAAAGTCATCAGTCGTAGCGTATGTAAACCATGCCGTGAGGAATGGTAAGAGATTCGCGATATATCAAAGTTGGCCGGCCTAGTAGGCCGCGGCGGTGGTGCCTTCGCTGGTGGCGACGGCAACCAACGCCTCCAGACGCCTTAGGGGATCGGGGTTGCCAGTCCGATCGGCGCCCGGCTGCTGCTGCTGGGGTGGTTGCGGCTCGGCCTGCCTGGCAGGGAAGCCTGTGAAATGATTCATGTTGGGGTGGATCATTCTGTTGACGTGCGGACCACGGGGCTCATGGACAGGTGCCTCGGGTCGAGGACCATGAACGTGGCTATTGGTAGGTCCATGGTACCAACCGTGTCGCTTAGCGTCTCTGGATACGATCGAGGGCATCGACATAGTGTGGTGGTGGTTGCGGGTGAACGCGCTCGAGTTGGAGTACGACGGCGGGTCAACTTCAAACCGCACAGTCGGCGGGTTCAACCGCACTTGCTCTGCCTGTGCCTGCACCGCCTGGTTCGCCTCATTCGCCCACACACCGGCGCTATCGCGAGGCGGCGTCGTGTTGGTGATGTCCAATCTCGTGAGGCCTCGATGAAGCCCCATATCCCACTGTGCGACGTTCCTTCGGCCATCGGCAGCGGCATCGGATCCCGGAAGAAGCGCCGGTGGGTGGGCGGCTTCATCGACCATCATCGGAGACGGAATGCGCCTCGGCGGCGAAATCTGTCGGGATGGCAGCGGGTCAAAGGACTCAATACCAGGCAGTCGTAGGGTCTGCTGTTGGTTTGTCACATTGGCGATGGGCGGTGCCGGGTTTGGCTGGATCTGGCCGGGCGTCAAGACGTTGCTGAGGTGGCTGGTGTTCGTGTTGAAGTTCCTGGTATCAGGGTGCCAGGTGCGGCGGCGCCAGGCTTCATCGGCATTCGATGATGTCGAGTCCCGTCGGCCAGACCAGCCCGAAGTCGGTGTTGTGGGAGAGGCCAGATGGCTGCTTGCGGCCGGGGAGAAAGCACCGTTGTTGGAGGCGTTCACGGGGCCGCCATACATGACCCGGTTGACCGGTCCTCCGTGAGGCGACTGGAAAGGGTTTGCACCCGAGGGGACGCTGAGACGGCGTCCTGGAGTCCTGGAGCCCGAGGAGTACATACTCTGGGAGCGAGAGTGGGAGGTGGTAGGAGACGCGATACCCGACCATCGCGGACTGCTCTGCCCAGTCGTCGAAAACGTTGCAGAAGTCGGCGTGCCATACTCGGTCGGCGACACAGGGCGGTAGCCGTAAGGACCATCGCTTCGGTACGACTCAAGAGAAAGTCGAGACCGGGGGTCGGTGGTCATGACCAGGGGAGGGGGCCGTCTGCGAAGGTCGTCCCTCACACCACCAAAGGCAGGGCCGATGGAGCCGACGCTGGCGATGCTGGATGTCGACAGGGACTTGGAGTGTCCTCTGACCGGGCCAGATGCACTGCCGGCGGTTGATGAGCGGGCTCTGCCACCCTGCTGACGTACGCGCTCGGTGCGCATCTGCCTTTGGAATCGCGCGCCGGTGGCTGCCAGGGAGTCCATCGGGATGTCCTCGTTAACGTGCACCGTCTGTGCGTGTTGTCGCAGGTTGTCAAGCCGGGAGAACCGTCGCGAACAGTGGCACTGGAATGGTCTCTCGCCAGTGTGTTTCCTAAGTAGATCGATCAGCGACTAGTGCAACTAGAATGTGGGGTTATTCTCCGTACCGAATGTGTCTCGCCAAATGCTCGCTTCTCGTGAAGCTCAGGTTGCAGGGTGGATAGTCGGTGCAGTAAAATCGCTGCGACTTCTTCTTCTTGCTGGACCTAGTACCGTCGGCATTGACGCTGTCATCGTCTGACCCTGCGCCATCCTCGCCAGCCTCGCCATCCGACTCGTCCATGTCCACGTCCTCAGAGTCTCTCGATTTCCTTGAATGCTGCGAGTTTGCTCTCGTAGGTGTCTTAACCTTTTCGGCACTCTCGGGAACCTGGACAGCCTGCGGGAACGGTGAGCTAGGCAACGGCTTTTGTGATGCCAACCCGCCGCTGCCACTGCCAAAGGTGGCCTTCGTCGGCGTCTTCACCTCCTCTGGGATAGTCTGCGGCGTCTGGGGGTGCGGTGCGGTGCTGGGTCTCGGGGTAGTGGGCGACGTCGTCATTTTGTCGTCAGCCTTGGCTTCAGCGGGAAGCGGCGAATTTACTGGTCTGAATGCGGCAGCCATGATGTGTATTGAGGAATCTGCGTGAGCAAGCAGTACGGGCGGCGATCCGGTGGGATATCGCAACCGTCAAACAAGTGCGCACGCAAGCTTGCGAGGCTGGAGGACCACTCGAATACGCAGCGTGCGGAGAGAAGAGCCTGCGGAGGCTTTGAGGGTTATTTCAGCCGAAGTTGTGCGGGCGGAGAGGGCGGGGGAGAAGGAAAAAAAGAGAAATGGAAAAGGTAATATCAAGTCATTCAGGTATCTCCGGAAGCGAGGGGTTCTTCTTCCAAACTGTGGGCGGTGCTGACGGCAGCTTGGGTTCGAGGAGCGACACACAAAGATGTCGTGAACCACAAAGGTGAAGAGGGAAGGGTGGACGAGTTGTGGTAGAAATGCGACGGCGAGTCGATAATGAATCCTGGGCCTGGGTGGGGTGGTTTGGTTTGCTGGACAAGGTACAAGGCCGGTATGAGTACTCTTTACGGTACGGTCGGTAAAGGTAGCGTGGTTGAGTGGAGGACGAAGAGAAGAGAGACAAGTTGGTAGGGCGAGGGGCAGGCGGCTCTAGAAAAGGACTGCCAGGGGAGTGTGGCGATGAATGGTCGATGATGAAAGACGTGCCCTGATCTGACCCTGCTGGCTGCAGCAAAGTGGTTCCCAGTGGTTCCTCGCTGACTTTTCTTCCCCCTGCCTCTGGCTTTGCGCCTGCTTGCGTTCGTTCACGTCTAGCGGGAGGTAGTGTCGAGAGCTGGGCGGAGTCTCTTCTGGGTAGGTTGGAGTAGCCAGCCAACCAGCCTCCTCTGAGGGGGGTGCGTATTGGGGGGATCCGGCGCACCAGGTCGGCGAGTTTGGGTGGGAGCGTCTGTGGGCTATCGCAGAGCCAATGCAGTCCGTTCCAATGCCAACCAAGATCCGAGGTGACGGGTTCCCGGCCTTCTGGAGGAGCTCGATTTCAGGAGTAGGAGGAGGCGAAGATGCACAAAACGCTTTGCGTCTGTTCCGTTCCTCGTTCTGCGATTTCGAGAGTTGCCGGTTTACAGTGCGTTTGTTGCGCTTGCTGACCGATGATCGGTTGAATACCGAGCGCAAGGCGGCGGAGCGCTGGACGTAGAGTTGTGGGGAAGGAAGGTATTCAGGTATTCAGAACCGTTGTGGTTGTTGCTGGGCCGATGTATGATCTGCCGGTCAAGAAAGCTCAAAGAGGTCGGCTCCGATAGAAGACGGACAGGTGGATAAATGTCGAGGACCTGGAGAGGGAAAGAAAGAGGAAAAGCGTCGGCTGCGAGGTGCGAGGGAGGATTGGTAAGTAGTTGACGATGACCGTTAATGGCACTCAAAGCGAGCAGAAGGGCTGGCGGTACGAGACGGCCTTGGGTGGACACAAGGGCGGGCAGGCAGGCCAGGTCCAGGGCCACAGTCAGGGCCAGGCGCCCAGGTCAGGGTCAGAACCAGGAGCTGGCGGCGGTAGTGGTGTCGGTGGAGTCGATTGGCGGGAGGTACAAGGGGAAGGGGTACAGATGGTACGGAGTACACTCCTGCACCATCAAAGTCGGACGGTTTGATTGTGGAATCCCAGTCAGCCGGGCGGTTGGGGGGCTCGCAGACTGAGACGGACTGACGACGGACGGGAGGCGATAATGGTCGGGATGGTGGGAAATGGGAGTGCTTGCGGTCCGTGAGCGGGAAGCCGAGGGCAGAGGGAAGCTGTCGACGCAGTCGGCGGCTTTCTGACGGACTCGTGGAAAACGGAAGAGGCGGTGGTGTCGGTTGGCGGTGGTGGTGGTGGTGGTGGTGGACAGCGTCGAAGTCATTCGTAGCGCAGACCGTATACATCCAGCGCCGCCGTAAAGTACCTTGCCTGGTGGGCGGGCTGGCTGGCTGGCTGGCTAGCGGGCACAGCAAGCGACGAGGCGTCTGCGAGGAGTAGGAGGAGAACGTGGTGACTCCAAAGCCGGGGCCAGGGGGGGGGGGGGGGGGGGTGGNGGGGGGGGGGGGGGGGGTGGTTGGCAAAGGTGACAGGGCGGCCAGGGCGGCCAGGGCCAGACGTAAGGTACCGATTCTGGGCTGGGCTGACTGGATCAGGTCCGGCCAGGATGTATCTCAGGTCCAGGAGATGTGATGTTCTGACTCCTGGATTAATGGCCGTCCGTGGGTTCGAGGATAGCCAGGCACACGGGATGAAAGGTCGAGAGACGGGCGGCGATTGGCAGAAGGCTGGGGACTGACGGGTCGAGGTTGACGAGGTCAAAGTCAAAGGCGGTGGTGGTTAAATGGGGAACAGGCGTTCTGTGACTGTGACTGGCCGGGCACCCGAGGATGCGATGGAGGCTTCTGGCGGGTTGACTTGACTTCGAGCAGAGTCGCATGCTGATGCTTGTTGCTGACGGCGGATACTGTTGGTGCGGTGGTTTCCATCTGTCTGTCACTCTGCGAAGGTGGCAGTGGGTTTCGGTCAAAAAGGCCATGGACCCAGATGTAGTGCAGTAGGGCAGACACAGAGTGACAGATACAGACAGCCAGACGGGGCCAGGGCCGACAACTGACTGCCAGTGACCTGTTGGCAGTGACTTTGCAACTTTCAGGCCAAGCCCGCCAGGAACCTTGTCCTTCGTTCGCTGGCTGGCTTTTCCTTGTCTGTCTCGTGCCGTCGCTGGCGCCTTGTCTTGCTGCCCTGACTTGACTTGCGACCCTCCGCAGGGGTAGCAGCACTGAGCAGCAGGCGGAGACAAAAGACAGAGTTGGACGGATACGGACGCAGAGAGAACTCGGCAGGATGCATTCGGTGCCACGAAGCCTGCGTAGCTAGATCCCTGGGTCCCTGAGTCCCTGAGTCCCTGGGGATGGCTGTCTTGAAGCTGTTTGCTTGAGGAAGAAAGTGGGCGCGAGCGACGGAAGATGGAGGGGCGATGACGGCAGCTGAAGTGTCACTGGGAGCTGTTTCCATGGACATCCGTGCTAGGAAAACATCGAGAAGGTGGTGGTGAGCGTGCGTGTCGGCGACAACGGCAGCCAGGACGGTGGTGGTGGTGGTCGGCGTCCAGGCGAGGGACGGGAGGGGTGTTGGCTGTGCAGTGATGGTGGTGTTGGTGGTGACGAGGAACCTTCCATGGAGTTGACGTGCACTGGCGACGACAGCAGAGGACAGGACATCCGACATGACCGGCGGAGACGGCATCGGGGAGGCGACGGCGACGGCGATAAGCACACGAGCGAGGACCGGGCAAATACGACGACATCGGGAACCTTCGTTTTCTTCTTTCCATCTCGGGCAGAGTTCATCTTAGGTCTATCAAATAGCAGTCGCGAGGGGAAGCCGCAGGTTCCGCACCTGCCTCAACAACATCCCGTCCCAGGTAGGTCGGCAGGTACCTGCTCAGTCCCTTCCTCCGAATTCTGCAAAGAACAGGAAGCGGCAGACGGGTGGCAGATGGCAGGAAGCAGGCGCGGACACACGAGGCAAGAAGCAGCATCAACAGCAACAGCAGCAGCAGCAGCAGCAGGAAGCACCTTACCTGAGGCAGGCAGGCACTTGCTAGTTTTCTGTGGCTTCCTGGCTGCAGCAAGCAGTCAGCGCAGAAAGCAACGTTCGTGGAAGGCACGGTGAACAAGGCCCGCAATACTAAGTATGTACCTTAGTATCTCCTACGGATACCATAAGTAAGGCAGGCAGAGTGGAGCAGGCACGGCAGGTACGGCAGACGGACAGCACGACGACGACGACGACGACGACAACGATATCCTTGCCCTTTCCATCCATATCTGTGTGTCTTCCTGGAAAAGACACAGAGAAAGGGAGAGGGAGAAATAGAGTGGTCGGCGACAATCTAAGAAAAAGGTAGCAACAGCCTGCGCGCTGCACGTCTGCACTGCACTGCATTTTGCAGATGCAAACGAGAGGCAGGAGCCCAGCTTGAGGCAGGCAGAGAGAGGCAGGTATCCCTCTGCCCCTCCTCCACCGCCGAGGTACCTTTTTCTTTTTGTCCCTCTTCCTCCCGTGCCCCTCCCCCTCCCCCTCCTCAACCCCCTCCATTGCCCCGCCCCTCTTTTTTGCTGCATCATGCGAGGGGTTGGGCGCACTCTCACAGGTTCACGGTCGTCTTTTTCGCAGCTGGGAGCATCTGCTAGCGCGGCTTAGGCCAGGTACATGTCAAGGCACCCAGGGACACACCGTCGAGGTACCTCGCCCAGGTGCCTTACTTGCGCCGCAAACAACGGTGGTGATGGGCCAAGCCAGCTGCCGGCGTCTGTGAGCCCCCGTCCCCGTCCTTGTCCCTGTCACCCATCAATCTGACGACCTTTCTTTTTTCACTCTCTTCCGCGCCAGGGGGGCCACGGGGGGTTCCCTTCTATAAAAAGCCACTCACTACCTGGATCACCACACGGGCGGGGACGGGTGCTGGAAGACGTGGACGGCTAGGAACAGGAAAGGGCCTGTGCGCCGCCGTCCCGCCAAGCGACGAATCCACCCCGCAATCGAGGCGCCGCCGGTCCAGTCCCGTGTCCGTCCATAATTATGGCAGGGCCCGACCTGGACCTGGGATCGGCGAGCTGCCCGTTTGATAGAAAATGCCCGTACCAAGATGCGCGCCCTCATGCGACCGGGTTGCACTATATTCAAAGAGGAAACCACGTCAAGTTGACGAACTGGGGCCGGCACCGGCTCCAAACGGCACGGAACACCTGGAACACGGGCCACTGCCTGCCTCCATCTGCCCTTAGGTAAGGTGCCTTTCCTTGACCCTTAGCTCGAGGAACCTTAGCTCGCCCGACCTGCGGGACGCCGAACGGGAATGAGAGAGAGCATGAACCACGCGGGTGCCAGATTGATGGCCGGCCGAGGTGAGCTTAATTGCGGCGTCCACCAGGACTTTGACCCAAACACGAACCCAGACATGGACCTGGACCTTGACCCTACGTCCGTCTCCTTCCGTGGCTTCCGTTTTGCGTAAAGATATTTTCGCCGAGTCGCATAACGATGGACGACTGAGCGCGGAAGCATCTTGATGAATATCGGCTGGCCCTGACTAACCGAGGGCATCATGAGTCTCTGGTGCAACAATAAGTGCATCTGATATTGTGTCTTGTAGATGGACGCGGGATGAAGACAAGTCGAGACCACAGTGTACTTTCCGCGTCTACCTTAGCAGAGGAAAGTGAGGTGAGGTCCTCCTCGCCTCCCTTCCTGGTGCCTGGCGTTCCTGAGGCTTCCATGTCTGATATTGAAAGAAGGAAGGAGCTGACCACCTCCCTGGGAAAAGGAGCAGGAGCATCGTAAGGCGCCATTGCCGTTGCTGAATGTTTGACGGGAGGTGGGTTGAGGAAGTCACGGCTGAAGGAAGCTACGGCCCACGCCTGCCTGCCTCGCGCCTCCCCTTCCCTGCCAAGTAAGGAATGTGGAAGGACGGAATTCGCTGTCTCTGCCTTCCCTGCGGTGTTGCACTCGCAGTCACACTTCTTCGCAAGCGCACCTCATGTCTCTTCTTCTCTCCCGCCATCATGTCTCGCCGCCGTGCTGCAGATTCTCAGGGAGTCGCGAAGTCCCGGTGCCATCGGTGACACGCAAAACACAGCCCACAATCACCCATTCCACCCGCCCGTTGACCACGTTTCCTCCTTGTTCATCCGCATCCCCGTCGCAATCGGCATCGGCACATCTGCCATCTCTGCATCTCGGAGCCCATTCTTCCATTCCAGCAGCCAACACCCCAGGTCACGGTATCACGCCGTCGACATATCTACACTTTCTTCGCCATCCCACGCTGCCGGAGCCCCTTTTAGCCTGCAGCCCTTGGCTCTGGTCGGTACTTGGCTTCGAAGTAGCCCAAGGGATGCTGCACGCCAGACGCACACCAGTACGCCCTCCTCGGCCTCCATCCCACACACACACACACACACACACACACACACACACACACACACTCACACACACACACAATAGACACACACACACACGACCCTCATGCTCTCTAGACATGGCAGGCGCTAGACAAAGGACAATCAATCAACCTCTTACCAATCATCTCTCTGATGTTCCGGCACTGTTTCTGACGATTTGTCGCGCCTGTCTGGACATCCTCTTTCGGTCTCTTCGGTTTCTTCCTCCCTTGCCTCCGCCCAGGAGCCCGCGGCGATATCGAGAGCATTTCTCCCTTCCCCGGCCACAACCGAGCCCGGCGTGATGCAGATGATACGGCATCGAAACGGTGCTCGACGGTGCAGTCGACACACGTACGCTAGAGAGCTACATCCTAGCTGCTGGGCTCCGACCAGGTCCGACCCGGCACAGGCACCACACACCACCGCCATTGCTGCCAACACCTACACCAACACCGGCGGAACACCAAGTCATCACCGTCACATCTCACTACCGCGATTAACTCCGCCTTCGTCCCGTGACAACCACCACCATCACCATGATGATGTGAGCATCCCCTGTGCCTGGATCCGGCCCAAGGCACACTCTACAGTTCTCCCTTGGTCAAGAGGTTGTCGCCGTGCCAAGACATTCGCCAGAGGACTTTCTGTGCACTACGGATTTCGGAAGCAAATGTTTGGCTCCTCACCTATCCCAAACGCCAAGGCTCCTTACAGCTCGCAAACTGCCCGTGGATTCGTCGTTTTTGAGTGCCTTGAAACTCCGAGTTCCCAGATCGCATTCGCGATTAAGCTAGCGAGGCTCCGGGCCGAGAGAAGGACAAGCGCCACCTGAACACCTTCCTCCCGACCAGTAACTTCGGTCTGCATTGTCTTGTCATCGCCGTCGTGCAACCGTCGACGGCTTCAGTTATTACAGCCAGATATCGGTTCCAATGTTTCGGTCCCGGCCTGGGTCTAGCAGGTCTAGGACCGCCACATCATTAGGCTGGCATCCATCGCTAGCCCTCAAGCCTCAGCTCCAGTCCCGATTTGATCCAGCCGCCCTCGTCACAAGCTTTGCGGTTCTCCCTGGCAATCGCTGGCACCGGCAGCTTTCTTCAAATCTTCCGACCTTCATGTTCGTCGCAACAACGCATTTACTCGCACATCCGCTTCTCCTGTCAGACAGTTCCTCAACAAAGTCCCCTAACACCCTACGTGCGTGCATGCTCTCACGTCTCTGTCTACCGTACATGGCACTCGGGTTGAAAACCTGCCGATGGTGCCCCGCCCTTGACCGAACGCGGGGGGCTGGCAGGCAGTCTGCCATTTTCACCCTTGCCCGTGCGCCGGGGATGGTCGCAGGGACATGATGACAATGTCCTGTTGCACACCGTTGTTGGCGCTTGCCGCCCTCTGAAAGGCTAGGATATCCACTGATCTGCAGCGCCGTATCGCAGAATTCCTCCCAGATCAGAGGTCCACAGTTGCGCTGAAGATCACCAAGACCAGATGTCATCATAGGCCAGGGGCATCAAGAAACTCACCGCCGGGCTTCCTGGTTTTCGTTAAGCATCAAATGGCAGATTGATGCTTACCGCGTCAACCGATGCATGACTACTCCAACGCTCTTCAGTTGTCGCAAGACAACTGACGTGCATGCATCGACCGCCCCGCCCATCGCCGCTCAACGCACAGCATTTTGAAGACATTGCGAAAGATCCTGGCAGGCAGACGGTTCAGCTGCGGATGGAGCTGCTTCACGACGGCTGGACTACATGTCGCTGACATTAACCTCTCTTCAACTTTCCATGAGCTGTCATATCACACGGCGTCGTCTATTCACAATGGGCTTCCTGCTGCAGGGCGAAAGACCATGTTCTTGGCGCACCGAGGCTGCACTGCGATAATGGCGAGCTGGCCCGCCACGGACACAAAATCTGATTGATCGACGCGTGGCATCTTACGCCGTCGAAAAAGGGATTGCTTCGCTCATCGGAAATGGAGAATTTAAACTCTGCACGGGTGAAACGATGCATCGGAATCCCCGTCCCTGGCTTCGCGTGTCCCATCAGATGCCGGGAATATGCTGGCACTTCGACGGCTTAGCGGCATGCTACTGCTGTCCGTCAGCGAAGAAGAAGAGGGCGCAAACTCATCAGACCGCTGATCAAGACCTCGGGCCAGATCCTTCAATCCCACTACGATGACAGCGTTTTGGTGCCTTCTTCACAACGACACGTTCATGACCTTCAGCATCAAACAAGGTCTTCCCCAGCGGACGTTCGTGGTCCTCGTACTGTCTTCCGATGTCCATCGTTATTCAAAGAGTTTTTCATCGCATACCCGCACTTCGCCAGACTTTCCCCAAACCATACACGGAGAGCTCGTCTTGTCACGCTGCGAACGGAAGATGCACGGCAGACCAGGGAGCTTGATCTAGAATCGCCCACAGGACGCGCAGCTTGGCCCGTTTCAGATTGAGTGCGACCACCTGTGGGATTGAGGCGAGGCACAAGAAGCCATTGTTGCCAACAAACGGGATGCCGTTTTGGGGGACGCGCGTGGGAGGCTGCAGCAATATGCAGGTTACTTGGACTGAAGCGGCGCGGTTGGCGGCACCCGCATACAGCTGCATGGGCCCTGGTCGATTTTCTTGGGATAATATGCATATCCGTCTTGACTGCGACCCTGTGAATGCAGTTCGGGATGAAGGTTAGCGGTAGACCTTGACTCGGTCGTTTTTGCAGATTGGGCACTTCACGACTCCTCGACAAGTCACTGACGACATGAACGCCAGCGGCCTTGAAAAAGGCAGACGCGACCATGGAACGCCATATGTTCATCAACACACAAAATGACACTTGATGTGCGATCGAATATTTTCCGAGTCATTCGATGTTGCTCCCTCAGATAGCTTCGTGAGCCCTGTCCTGAACGAGGCAGGTCGTGGCTCACGGGTACCTTTCTCGGGCCTGAGACACGGCCAGCCACGCTCGTTTTTGCTGCTCATGAGGGTCCCGAGATCTGACTTGAAGTGGTTCAAGTGACGGCGCCCTGATCTCACCGCTACAAGACTGAGACATGATCGAGAATGACACAGCCTCTGGGGTATCCCCAATGGCATAAGCGCCGGCTGGCCAGTCAAGCTTAGAAACGAATTCACGGCCTCGGGCCAACGACAGATTAAATCGAGACCCGTTCAAACATATGTATGAGCAGGCAAATATCCACCTCGGCACCGCATACAGCAATCACTATAACATTGAGACCGCATATTTTTTCTATGCTAACGCGACTACTTTTCCTGTGTACTTGGTGACATTGACAAGGACGACGACGGGGGACGACGGCGATAGACGATAGGCGACGATGACAGTAATAATAACAGTAGCGACTACAACAGTAACGACGATAGCGAGCACACAGGAAAAGTAGTCGCTCTAGCACAGGAAAAGCAGGCGGTCTCCTACGATTGATGGAGTGAAACGAAACGATCCGCAACCTACCGACTTTGCTAGTGGTAGTGTTGCGCCAGATGATGCTACATGGCGGGGCGACAGCGTGAAGTTGGCCCTAGATCTTATCTGGGGTGGACCCTGTTGACCGCTGGCTGTGTGATGCTCCAACGACGGCCATCGTGACAGCACCGTCTCTGTACCTGGCAGCCAACCTCCAGATCTTCCGCGGCTTCCCAAAAGTGAAGCTGCACGATGCAAGGCACGGTGCAGACAGCAACTCCACACCCTTCAAGACTGGATGATTGCAACTGAGGACAAGGGCCCATGGTCCAGCAATACCAAGTGCCCATCGCCGTCGCTTCGTTGCACATTGCGCATGGAACGAGGGCACCCCAAGATCTGCTCTGTTCTTGGCGTTGGAGCGTATGTCTGTACTCTCTCTCATTTGATCGCTAACAAACTTTGTCAAATGTTACTCCCGACTCAGTAGACAATGAACTTGAGCGGTGCCAACTGTAAGGTGAGGGAATAACTGTTGGTGTTGACCAATCTTTGCCCCTCATTCCTCGCCGCTTTAACGACACCTCAAAATCTTAGCGTTAGTTGGGACAGCAGACACAGACAGTCTGGAATTATGCCTCAACTGACGATAGGCGAAGCTACTCTCAGAATGCTGTCCATTTTCACTCTTCACGCTTGGTCAAGGCACCGGGTTTGCTAGCGTTGAGGTTTCCGCACCATGAGAAGCCATCTGCAGGCAGGTGGACAAGCCACCCGAGTAAACGATAACGACAGCAGCTGTCGCTGTCCTAGACATCAGGACCAAGCGACCATCTTGCGAGCAACTACGATTTGAGCTCTTTGACGTGGTTCCAGTTCTCAGCTAGGCCTATCCTTGAGGCTTTTGTTCTCCAAGCCGGTGGGCCTCGCCCTACGCCCCGTTCCAATACACCTGTCTCTGTCATCGGCGTTCTTCACCGCTCTTTCGACGGGCTTTACCTCGGTGTCATCCAACCTCACCTGCGCAGCCTTCAACGAACTATGATTCCCGCTCGCAACACGGATCCCCTGGGACCTGAATCGCAAGTTTTTTTGAACCACCTACGGCCGAATAGCCTGGGCTGCGCACCGTATCCTCTCCGTATCGTTCGTCGGGGCGGAGGGACAGGGACGTGGGAGCAAGAGCGCATCAAGACGCATGAATAGCGCCATGCATGGCACGCAGTAGCTGCGAGCTTTCTCCGTCGCAGCGCACAGCATAGATGTGCGTGGGCTCGCATCCGAGGGACTAACGTGAACTATCTGATCGCTCCATGGCCTCCTCGCCGCAGCGGGAGCCGCACGCAAACAGGCCTTGTTGGTCGGATTGCCGTTTGCACAAGTCTCCCACCAGGCCATCTTATTCGGCGAGAGGCTCTTCTCCTGGGCGACTCCCTGTCGTGCCATGCAGACAACGCATAGAGGCGGCCGTGGCTGCGCTCGACGCCAATGTTTCGTTCCAACGCAGATGCCAGCAACGCACTCGTCTGCCAGTGAGAGACGGGCATTTTCTCAGCTGTCGGGCTGACACACCGGATGGCCGACCTGTCGATAACCTAAACGAAGTCACCTCCCCGGTGGCTCAATAGGCCGGCCGAAATAGAGGATGTCTAGATCGGGACCGAAGGCACTGGCCTGCATCTCTAGAGACGGGCATTTTTGCCAGCCATTTCAAAGGCCTTCAGTCACCTGGACCGGTACAACGCCGTGCCTAGCTTTCCTGCCGTACCTGTGGCCTCCTCTCCCGCCGTCCTGCCGGTCGCTACCTCACCCAAGTCTCACGCCAGCGTTGCTTTTTCTCCGCATGGACTCAGATCTGTTCC